CTTGTCACCTAAGAACGTGGTGTCACATCTTTGCTGTTGGACGAATACCACTGGTTTCACTGCACGTCAATGAACGCACTACAAAGAAAGTGAATCATGTCATCACGTCGTCCGGTCTTCCAGTACAGCTAATATTTCCGACCACCTGCGAATTTGAAACGCTTGCTGACGTCGTCACGGATATATGAAGAGAAATGTAGCCGAAGTAACCACGCGTATTGCGCAGAAAGTATAATAAAAACAGCCAATTACGAGGGGTTTACTTGTCGACCTGGCCAACCTGGTTAGTTATTTGTATAACTAAGTCCTTGTTAAATGTTGTAATGCAAGTATGCTTGACATATTGTATTTTAAGGTCTAACGAAGCTAAAGCAACATCAATAAAGGTATTGAACAAGTCCTCAATTATTGAAAAAAGGAGAATGAACAACAAATGAGGCTCAGGAATAGTTTGATATTATCAAGATACAGAGAGGTGTCGGTATCTGAAGAAGCTTCAGCCACTCCCGCAAACACTGGCTTGATCAGTTTCTACCCAAAAGCAAAGGTTCATTATCGAAATCATGGCGCACTGTTCTCCATACCCATCGTGACGCCAGCACTGTCAATCAAATTTTGTCGTATTTCGATGTTTACTTCGATTTGTCCCAGCCAGACAACTGTCAGCTGTATCAAAGTTCCAAAATCAGCAGTGTGCCTACAAAAAAAAACGTGCAAAGTGAGCGAAAGATGGATGCTTTCAGACATTAACAAGCCGGAGCATCCGCTCAATGAAAAATATGTTGTACTCAAATCTGTTGAGCAAGTAAAAGGACATCTTGATAAGGTCCTTTATGGTTTCCGTTTTTCCTCGCCTTCCGATGGTTTTGATCACTGAAGAGAGGCGATATTTCCATCACCACCACTTACAGTGGACTTCTCATTCGACGAAGGGGCGGTCCTACGACCACTCTGGCGAGCGGTCCGACAGTTGCGTGTTGGTGGGAAGGTGGACGCCTGGGGCGATTTTCATCACTTGATTCTGCGCTCTCTGACATTGACTCTGCGCTCGAACACACGCCACCGCACAAGAATATGAAAATGAAGGACAGAAAAGATTCAGAAAATGGAACAGTGGAATAGAAAATTCTTTATTAGTTGGTATGTGCCGACAACTTGGATGCAGCGATAAGTGATGACGTCGTATTGTCTAGCAGCAGTCGCGGTGTCCGTGGTGGCCTGCAAACATATTTCGTTATTCTGGTGTTTATTGGCGTCAGTGGTGCAACATTCAACCAGTGAAAGTGAGCTGAGGTTACGGGAAGACTGAAATTGTGCGAAGAGAAGTATTTCAATGAGCTTGCTGTATATGTATACTGACTAGGGGAAAATTCGGACAGAGATCCACAGATGGTGAAGGGTTCAGGAAAGATGTTGATTAGGGATGGAGCAGAAAAAGGGCCGTGGATGTTTCAGAGCGCGGAGGAGCTTTTTTAGTAAGGGATTTGCTCAGATAAGGGTTAAGCACATTGCGCCCAAGGATGGAAGGATTACCTCAGTGTCTCAGTGGTGGCATCGCTCACGGCTTCTGCTTCGACTGTGATGACCGTGGTGATGACGATGATGATGGTGATGATATTCAGGCGGCGGATAGTGACCTAGTAAGCACGCATTAACCCCACATGTCAACTCAGCACTGTTCGGCTTTGAAAAAAAGGGGGAGGGCGGAAGTGGTGGGGCTAGGAGGAGGGCATTCAGCTTGTTCGCTACTTTCTTCAGTCACGTTACCTTGGTGTGACCTAACTTCTGCTGAAGGTTCAATATAGGGCAAGGTTATCCGAGCCGCCCTAATAAGACCTGCTGACTCTTCTAAACGAGAAGGTTGAGACTCACTTTGTATGGCTGTGCTAACTTCACCAAAGCCCCCAAATTTTCAGGCCCATGGAGAAAAGCAAAATGCTCCTCCTAGAAAAACAGGGTCTTGCAAAGAGCATAAGACGTGCA